TCGTGTGGGTGGCAGCCACTCGATGTGTCCCTTTCACATCGATGTTTCCCTCTCTCTCCCTCCCACTCTATCTGAACAAAAAATGGAAAAATGTCCTCAGGTGATAAAAAAAAAATGATCGCCCAAATCATACAAGTTTCATGGAAGCGAAAACACAGGAAGGGAACCATCTGTCCACAGTTCTGTTCCCCTGATGGATCAGACAGCATGCCCCTTGCCAGGGACCCTTTTCTGCAGGGATTCGGGGGCAGGTTGACCGGTGAGCAGCCCCGCGATGGAATCTCCCCTGCAGCAGAGCCTGCGTGGGCCTGTCCTGCAGGTGGAGGTGATGTGGGTCTCCAGGTTGGCCTGTCCTGCAGGGGGAGGTGATGCGGGTCTCCAGGTGGGCCTGTCCTGCAGGGGGAGGTGATGCGGGTCTCCAGGTGGGCCTGTCCTGCGGGTGGAGGTGATGCGGGTCTCCAGGTGGGCCTGCCCTGCGGGTGGAGGTGATGCGGGTCTCCAGGTTGGCCTATCCTGCAGGGGGAGGTGATGCGGGTCTCCAGGTGGGCCTGCCCTGCAGGTGGAGGTGATGCGGGTCTCCAGGTGGGCCCGTCCTGCAGGGGGAGGTGATGCGGGTCTCCAGGTGGGCCCGTCCTGCAGGGGGAGGTGATGCGGGTCTCCAGGTGGGCCTGCCCTGCGGGTGGAGGTGATGCAGGTCTCCAGGTGGGCCTGCCCTGCGGGTGGAGGTGATGCGGGTCTCCAGGTGGGCCTGCCCTGCGGGTGGAGGTGATGCGGGTCTCCAGGTGGGCCCGTCCTGCAGGGGGAGGTGATGCGGGTCTCCAGGTGGGCCTGCCCTGCGGGTGGAGGTGATGCGGGTCTCCAGGTGGGCCTGTCCTGCAGGTGGAGGTGATGCGGGTCTCCAGGTGGGCCTGTCCTGCGGGTGGAGGTGATGCGGGTCTCCAGGTGGGCCTGTCCTGCAGGCGGAGGTGATGCGGGTCTCCAGGTGGCAGCAGCCTGTGAGCACGACCCCGCCCCCCAAGGAAAGAAGGCCGCTGCCGAGTCGGGCAGTGTCCTCTGTCGCGGCGCGATCCTTGGAGAGGGACTCCTCAGCCTGGTGCGCCCCTCTCCCCAGCCCTGAGGACAGGACCTGATGGTGTCCGGACTGGGAATCCAGAGGGGTCTGGGCTCAGCCCTGGCTCTAGGCCTCGGGCCTGTCCTTGGCCTGGCTCAGCTTCCCCAGCGGGAAGGTCACGGTCATGGAAGGACTGAATGAGAACCTCCCACGCGCCTCCTGGCCCAAAGGAACTTCAGCGAGTGGTTAGCATCCCGGCCCTGTGGGGGGTCCGCACCTCGAGGGGAGGCCCAGCCCCTCTGCCGGGTCAGCGGCATCATGCCCAGCACAGGCCCACGGCCTTCCCGGGAGCACGTGACTTCCTGTTTTCTCGGCTCAGGCGGCAATGTCTTCAGAGGTGGTGTCTGCGCCCAGGGGTGGGGCTGGCAGCGGCAGGACCCTGGCCTCAAGGTTGGGGGTGCAAGAGGAGGTGGGGGGTTGGACGCTGGCGATCCTGGACTGAGGGCTTTAGGAGGCCAGCTGTGCCGCATGGGCCTGCGCAGTGAGCCCCCCACCCCCCGGCAGTGTCAGGCCTGGAGGAGGCCGCCCCGCGGCCCGCGGTCCACGCTCGTCAGGTAGCAGGGCCCGACTGGACTCAGGTTCTGGACGCGGTGGGGCTCTGAAGCTGCCCCGGGAGCGGGGGGACTGTGCCCTTGTGCTTCTGGAGGCACACTGAGGACCAGCGTTGTTGGAAAACTGAAAAGTAGAGGTCTCTGCCGGTTATCGATAGGTGGTGAGCTCCCTGTCACCCGAGGTATTCAAGCAGAAGCGGGAGGTGTCAGAGAGGAAATTCTTGCAAACCCAGCGGCAGCCCTCCTTGAAAATCTTCCCGGTGGGGTGCAGCATGGGCTGTGCTCGGCCCCGCCCCACAGACTGGACCCTGCGGCCCACTGAGACGGCCGAGTCGCAGTCTGTGGGTCTCCTGCCTCACTCTCTCCCAGGAGTCCCCACACCACCCGCGGAAACCTTCGCGCTGCCCGGGTGGCAGTCCTGGAGCCTCGGCCTCAGCCCCTCTGCGTCCTGGCCCTGAGCCCAGGTGTGCTTCCGGGTCCAAAGCCCCCTGGTAACCCCCTGGTCTTTACTTTCAGCCTAAGAGGCTGGGAGACGCCCGAGGAGACTCCAGGGGCGACCAGAAGTGGCCCGAGTCTCTCTATACGGGGCAGGGAATCCTCACTCCTGGGTTTGCTGAGTCTGCCTTGTGTGGGGCCACAGCATGGCTGGGGGGCCCCGGTCAGATGGGAAGGCTCCGGGGTCAGAGCTCACCTCGGCCAGCTGAGCCCGACTCCTGCAGAGAGCATCGTCTCCTTGGGTCTCACCACAGCCCTTAAGAGGGGGCAGGATGACCCTCCATTTTACAGATGGAGAGACTGAGGCCCAGAGATGTGAGGTGATTTGCCAAAGACCACACAGCGACTCTGTGGGAGGGGAAGGAATAGAACCCCCCACACACACCCCCCCAATCCAGGGCTCTTTCTAATTCAATACCTGCCCCACCCCCGGCGTCAAGCAGATGCTCAATACATATTTAATCAATTACAAACTGAGCTCCCCACGGCCCTTCTGGCCCTTCGGGGGGCATTCTGGGCTACCGCTGCCTTCCTAGGCCCACCCCTTCCCCAGGCACAGCTGGGCCGGCAGAGGGAGGGTTCCCCCCACCCCCACCCCCGGGCCAAGCCACACTTGTCACTGGTCAAAGAATCAAGCTGCTCTTTGAAAAGAAAACCTGCCTCTATCACTTACCCCGGGGGACGTGCTGTTCCCCCCCCCCTCCCGGCTCTGCACAGCACAAAGAAATACTCCTTTTTATTTGTTCTGAATTTACTGTCTAGTGAGTTTTCTGTTCTCGTTTTATGTGACAGGCAACCAAGTGATTTTCTCCCAACCCTTTTTCTGAATCTCAATCACCCCCATAAATCACGGCTGACACCTCCTATCGGGTCCTAAAGGGAAAATCGTCCCAGCTTTAGTGGCCTTTGTGGGGTGGAGGGTTGACTTGTTCCCTAGAGCCCTTCGGACCCCCACCTCGGGTCAGGGGGGCTCAGTGCGTCCTGGGGCCAGAGGCAGACTAAGGGGAAGGGCCCCGCCTCCCCTGACGATTGCCCCCCACCAGGTGAAGGTCTGCCCTGTGCTCGCTGCCAGGCTGGGGCTGGAGGTCAAGGCAAAGGAAGATGCAGCCATTGGTCTGAGGGAGGGGGTCTCCTAGCCCCACATGTGATGTCTACAGTGTTTAGTGGGGGCCAGGCCCCTGCACTGAAGGTTCCAGAGGGGATAAGGCGGCTGGACAAGCCCCACTTGGCAGATGTTGGGCACAGAGCCAGGCAGGGAGTGTTCCCGGCGCGGTAGGGGGGCCTTGACCGCTGGGCTTTGCTCAGAGCAACGGGGCCGTCTGGGTTCTGTGCGGGGACCTCAGGGAGTTTACAAGGAGACCGGCTGCCCCGCAGGAGGGGCTGAATGAGGGCGGAGACAAAATTTGGGGGAGAAGCCAGAGCATTGCGTTCTGCGGAAGGGTGGGCCCCGCGGGGGTTGGGGAGAGGGCAGATGCACTTTGGGGGCAGCCCCCCACTTGCTGCGTGTGCTCCTGGGAAACCTGAAGTTCTCTGTGCCTCAGGGCCCCTGGCACACAGCTGGGAGGAGCTGACCAGTTACTACAGGACAGCAGGTGTAAACAGTAAAGAAACGTGACCCTTTTCATCCCCTTAACAAAAGAGGCAGCTGGACCAGGGTAAACAACTCGCCCCAAGTCAGTCAGTAGGGATAGGAGGGCGCTCAAGGGCACACGAGCTACTCCCGCAGTGGCCACCAGAGGGCGCCCCAGCCTCGGCAGCGACAGCCGCTGTGCCGCACCTGGCGCCTGGCTCCTGCCACAGACGCGCTGCCCCTGGTGGTGGGGGGGTGTCCCCGCACACATACCTAGTAGGAAGGACGGTCTGCGCCTCCTCGCTCATCGTTCAGTGAGCTTGCACGTAAAATCCAACTGGTTTTAACCAGAATGCTCGCTGTATGTCCTTCCCCAGCCCCACTGGACGCCAGCGCGAGCTGGAATCTGCATCCCTACTGCTGGACAGTTGGCTGGGGCAGAGGCCCCGGTGACCTGCGGTGGGCGAGGCTGAAGCCGCGGGACCTCTGAGTGCCCTCTGTGGCTGCCTCCAACTGGCATCAGATGGGGTGGGGTTGCAGGGACAGAAAGGAAGGGAGTATGTAGGGAACAGCATGTGCAAAGGCACAGAGGCACACAGTCTGGGAGAACAAGGTGTGTCCTGGGAATGGTGCGTGGGGGAGGGGGCTGAGGCCGTGAACCCGGACTGTGCGCAGAAGGCTGCCAGGTTTGGGGGGGGGTCACTGAGGTTCCTCTGCTGCTCAGGAGACCCCTCGGGCCCAGGGGAGGGAAGCCAGCACCCGAACCCACTAACCTGGGCAGGGGGCTCTGCTCAGTGCCTGGCACTGCGGATGCAGGAAGGGAGGAGAGTTGCCCAAATTCTCGTTCTAATTTAGAAACTGGAACGACCTCATTTGACCATCAGTCCTTTCTGTCCCTGCGGGGAGGCCTCAGGGAGCCACGCCCCTGAATTCAGACGCCATTCATCCAGACAGGGATGGACACCTAGAGGTTTCCAGAGTGCGTGGTCCCACGCACAGCGGGGCTCCCCTTGCGCCCCGGCAGCTGTCCTGAGTGCAGTGGACAGACGGCCTCACCCGCCCCACCCACCCCATTTCTGCCCCCCTCCCGGCTGTCCGGGTGCTGTGGCCCCACAGCTGGCGTGCCCACGGGTGGTGTGGGCCAGGTTTCCCCAGGAGCTGGGCCAAGGGGGCGGACGGAGGCTGAGGTCAGAGGGGGTGGGGACTGGATCCATGCCCCTTGTCATGCTGTCCCGTCCTGGGCCTGGCTGACCAGTCTCATGTCTTGGTGCAGAGGCACAGAGCTTCGGCTTGCTGGACCCCAAGCTCTGCTACCTGCTGGACGGGATCCTCTTCATCTACGGCATCGTCATCACCGCCCTGTTCCTGAGAGAGAAGGTGGGTGCCACTGGGCTCAGGAGGGGCACGGGCTCCCCTGTTCGTGGATGTTCCAAGGGCCCTTGGGCCTGCCAAGTCTCCAGCGTGGGTGGTACCTACGGCTCTGTGTCCGTGGGCAAAGCAGGGACAGCCCAGGGTGCACTTCGGGTGGGTTGGGGTGTGGGCCGGGACTGGGGGCTGAGCTGACAGAGTGGACAGAGATGCTGGGCTGGACACTCTGCCGTGTGAACCCCAGGTGTGCGGCGGGGCAGCACCGCTGGCAGGAAGTGGCCTTTAGGAGCAGGGAGGGGACCTCCTGAGGTCTCCCCAGATCCTGTCCAGCTGCCAGTGCAGGTCCCGGGCAGGAAGTGGGAGGCTGGCTCAGAGCCTGGTTTCCGCTGTGCCTGTCAGGCCTGGCTTTCTCAGAGGGGCAGGGGCTGGGGTAGCCTGATGTGGGCAAAGGAGGTGGAGGGGCTCCAGCCCTGTCCTCACTCCAGCACCCCAAACCCTGCCGTTTGGGAGTTGAGACTTGGGTCACAGACCTTATTGGAAAAGCAGAGCATGCTGACGTTCCTTTTAGAGTCTGAACACGGCCACCAGACCTCTTGCACGATGCCAAGGCTCTGACCGGCAGATGCTCTGAGAAGGGCGACTATGTGCCAGGCAGGGGCAAGATAGGAGCGGTCCTTGCGCAGCATTGCCAGCCTGAGTTTGTCCTCCGAGTCCCCAGAAGAAGGGCCTGAGAGGATTCCCCTGGACCGAGCTGGAGGACACTACCCAGAGACACCTGACGGCTGCAGGTGTCCCCAGGAGGCAGGGAACAGTCAAGTTCAGACAAGGGGCCACCCCAGCAGGCAGGACGAGGCTGCGGGTGGTGGTGGCCCCTCTTGGCACTCACTTCTGCTGTCCCCTCTCTTCCAGTTCAGCCGGAGGCCGGATGCCGGGGACCTGCAGGGCCCCAACCAGGTCTACAATGTAAGTCAGCTCGGCACAGCCCGCAGGGAGACTCGGGGAACTGGGCCAGGCTCCAGGCTCTGGGTTCTACCCCAGGAAACGGGGACGGTCATTGCACCAGCCTCGTGGGGGCACTGTGAGCCAGCATGCTCTTAGGCCTGGGTGCCTGGACAGCATCCACTTAGTGTGGTGCCTGTTCCCCAGCCTGCCAGCCGCTGGTGCACACTGCTCAGCTGGTGCAGAGGACACGGGCCAGGGGTGGGCTCCTTGTGCACCGGCTCCAGTCGTTGATCACCACCCCCACCCGTGGAGACATGCCCCTGGATGTGTGCTGGCATGCTGGGTCCCATGGGCCAGTCACCACCCCAGTCCCTGCTCCTTTCTCTGAGAGCCACCCGGGGACCCCCAGGCCAGCCGGCAGTCCTCCGGAACGTCACCGTCTGTGACACCTCCTGTGTGTTTCAGGAGCTCAACCTAGGAAGGAGAGAGGAGTACGACATGTTGGACAAGAGACGCGGCCGTGACCCTGAGATGGGAGGGAAACAGGTAGGACGTCCTCCTTCTGCTGTGTGAGCGCATCAGTGTGTGTCGGTGTGTGTCCGTCCGTGTGTGAGTGTGAGTGTGTGTGTCTGTCGGTGTGTGTCCGTGTGTGAGTGTGTGTCCGTGTGTGAGAATGTGTCAGTGTGTGTGTCGGTGTCCGTGTGTGTGTGTCCGTGTGTGAGTGTGAGTGTGTGTCCGTGTGTGAGTGTGTGTTTGTGTGTGAGAATGTGTCAGTGTGTGAGAATGTGTCAGTGTGTGTGTCAGTGTCAGTGTATGTCTGTGTGAGAATGTGTCAGTGTGTGTCAGTGTGTGTCAGTGTGTAAGAATGTGTGTCAGTGTGTGTGTGTATGAGTGTGTGCCAGTGTGTGAGAATGCGATTCTGTCAGTGTGTGAATGTGTGTCAGTGTGTGAATGTGTGTCAGTGTGTGAGAACGTGATTGTGTCAGTGTAAGAATGTGATTGTGTCCATGTGTGTCAGTGTGTGAGAATGTGATTGTCAGTGTGTGAATGTGTGTCAGTGTGTGAGAATGTGTGTCAGTGTGTGTGTCAGTGTGTGAATGTGTGTGTATGAGTGTGTCAGTGTGCGAGAATGCGATTGTGTCAGTGTGTGAATGTGTCAGTGTGTGAGAACGTGATTGTGTCAGTGTAAAAATGTGATTGTGTCAATGTGCGTCAGTGTGAGAATGTGATTGTGTCAGTGTGTGAGTGTGTCGGTGTGTGTGAATGTGATTGTGTCAGTGTGTGCAAATGTGTTGGTGTGTGTGAATGTGTCAGTGTGTGAGAATGTCAGTGTGTGTGAATGTGTCAGTGTGTGAATGTGTCAGTGTGTAAATGTGTCAGTGTATGTGAATGTGTCAACATGTGAGTGTGAATGTGTCAGTATGTGCAAATGTGAGTGTGTCAGTGTGTGTGTGTGGGTGTATCGGTGTGTGTGAATGTGTCGGTGTGTGTGAATGTGTGCCAGTGTGTCAGTGTGTGTGAATGTGTGTCAGTGTGTGAGAATGTGATTGTGTCAGTGTGTGCAAATGTGTTGGTGTGTGTGAATGTGTGTCAGTGTGTGAGAATGTGATTGTGTCAGTGTGTGCAAATGTGTTGGTGTGTGTGAATGTGTCAGTGTGTGTGAATGTGTGTCAGTGTGTGAATATGTGTCAGTGTGTAAATGTGTTAGTGTATGTGAATGTGTCAACATGTGAGTGTGAATGTGTCAGTATGTGCAAATGTGAGTGTGTCAGTGCGTGTAAGTGTGTGGGTGTATCGGTGTGTGTGAATGTGTGGGTGTGAATGTGTCAGTGTGTGTGAATGTGTGTCAGTGTGTGTGAATGTGTGTCAGTGTGAGAATGTGATTGTGTCAGTGTGTGCAAATGTGTTGGTGTGTGTGAATGTGTGTCAGTGTGTGAGAATGTGATTGTGTCAGTGTGTGCAAATGTGTTGGTGTGTGTGAATGTGTCAGTATGTGAATGTGTGTCAGTGTGTAAATGTGTCAGTGTATGTGAATGTGTCAGCGTGTGTGGATGTGTCAGTATGTGCAAATGTGAGTGTGTCAGTGCGTGTAAATGTGTGGGTGTATCGGTGTGTGTGAATGTGTGGGTGTGAATGTGTGTCAGTGTGTGTGAATGTGTGTCAGTGTGTCAGTGTGTGTGAATGTGTCAGTGTGCCCATGTGTGTGTCCATGTGTTTAAATGTGTCAGTGTGTGAATGTGTGTCATTGTGTTCATCTGTGTGAGTGTGTCAGTGAGTGTGTCAGTGTGTAGAGTGTGTCAGTGTATGTGTGTCAGTGTGTGGAGTGTATCAGTGTGTCCGTGAGTGAGTGTGTCTGTGAGTGTGTGTCAATGAGTCAGTGTGTGTGAATGTCAATGTGTGTGTGGGTGTGAATATGTATCAGTGTGTATGAGTGTCAGTGTGTATGAGTGTCAGTGTGTCCATGAGTGTGTCAGTGAGTGAGTGTGAGTGTGTCAGTGTGGGTGTGGAGGGCCAGGGTGAGCTGGGCAGGATGTGGAGGGCCAGCACACTCTGCCACTACTCTCGACCCTGCCGTGTGGTGCGAGGGGCCTTGTCCAGAGGACAGGTGGAGGCCCCGTTTCCTGCAGCGCCCCCTCCTGTGGGCCCGCCTGCATCTCAAGGGGCCCCACTTGCCCTGCGAGGCTGCAGAGCCAGGGGAGGGCCAGGCCCATGTGGAGGCCACGGCGATGGTGGTGCTGCTCTCCCCCCGCCTGGACCTTCTCCACCTCCAACTCTTCCCTTGTCCCCCAGCAGCGGAGGAACCCGCATGAGGGCGTGTACAACGTGAGTGCAGGGGGTGAGGGGCGGGGGGAGGGGAAGGGAGAGGGAGGGGGAGGGGGCGGGGGGGCGGGGGGGCGGGTCCCTCCCAGCGGGCAGGAAGGAACGAGCTGGGGGGGGCGTTCTTACGGCCTCACCCCCGTGGTCCCCTGGGCCACAAGATGCCTGCGGCTCTGTTACAGGAGGCCCCGAGGCCCCGAGCTGGCCTCCTGTCCCCCAGCCTGAGCTCCCTGCTGCAGGTCCTGGGTGGGGCTGGGGGTCTCCAGGTCAGGCTGAGCCAGCCCCCTGGGGGACTCCTGTTCCTAGGGGCTGGGGTCACCTCCTGACTGTCACCTCTCATGGCCGGTCCACCTCACCTTCGCGGGTGTGGGTCTCCCACGGGGGACTTGCAGGGGAGGGGTGCCTCTCCTCCCCTCCGCAGTTGGACGGCAACTTGCGCAACGATGTGGTCCCCAGGCCCCTGGGGAGCCCTGCATTGTCCAAAGCCCATGTCCTTTGGCTAGAACGCCCCGCCCCCTCTTACCTTTCGGGGCCTCACTGAGCTCCCAGCCCAGGGCACAGGGCCGGGGGCTCAGGCTGAGGAGGAGGGTGGGCTGGAGCTGCTGTTGGCGGGTGTGTGTGAATAAGGCTGGGCCACCCCACCGACCCGGCACGAGGGGCTTCTCCCTGGAGGGCCCGTTCCCGCGTTGGTGAGCGCGCCCCTGCCCCCCAGGCCCTGCAGAAGGAGAAGATGGCGGAGGCCTACAGCGAGATCGGGACGCGAGGCGAGGTGAGTGCGCCCCGCTCCCCGATGGGCGGGTGCTCGCGGGCACACCTGCGCAGGCACACCTGCACGGGCACACCTGCCACGGGTACACCTGCAGCGGGCACACCTGCCGTGGGCACACCTGCGCGGGCACACCTGCTGCGGGTGCCGTCCGCCCCCTCGGAGCCCTGCAAAGCCGGGAGGTGACCAGCGAGGCGGAGGTGAACCCGCTCCGCATCTGGCCGCACAGACGGTCCAGCGAGGGGCCCAGGCTCTTGGGGGATTTAAACAAAGCCGATGCCGGCACAGTCAAAGCAGCTCAGGTCGGTCACCATGAGTGACGACGATGTGTCCAGAGCGTGCGGCGTGTGTCCAGCCCTCGGGACTGCGGCCCCTTGGTGGTCGATGACTACGAACTTGCACAGGCTCCAGCCGGAGCCGTGACCACAGCAGGGCCGCTGTGCTCGGCCGCTCGGTGCCCAGCAGGACCAGCAGGGCCGCTGTGCTCGGCCGCTCGGTGCCCAGCAGGACCAGCAGGGCCGCTGTGCTCGGCCGCTCGGTGCCCAGCAGGACCAGCAGGGCTGCGGGGAGGCCGGCCCATTCCAGGTGCAGGCTGTGGGGCCGAGGCCAGGGGTCTGATGTCTGTGGGGTCGGAGGGCAGAGCAGACCTGGGCCCCTCGGAGCCAGGCCTCACCTCACTCTGGGAGGCCCCGGTCTGGCCAGTGGCCTGCAGTCCCTTCTCTCCTGGGGCAGGGGTGCTGGCTGGGGGACAGTCACCTCCACTCTCTGGGGCCCTGGAGGGCATGGGAAGGCCACCGCGGGCGGCCTGACCAGCCCCCTTTCCGGTCTCTCCCACAGAACCAGCGCCGGAGAGGCAAGGGGCACGACGGCCTGTACCAGGTGAGAGGGCTCCGGGTGGCACCCCAACTCCAGGGCAGGCTCAGGCTGCCGCGCTCCTGCCGACAGCTGGGAGCCTCAGGCCGCGCAGTCCCCGCCCCGGGCTGGGTGCAGTGACTCAGGCACAGGACTGGGGTGCAGCCAGGGGCACTGGTCCCGGGGCCGAGAGCTGCTGCCTTGGGCCGTGCCGCCTGGCCCGAAGGACACCACACACCGCGGTCCCGTCGCTGCACCGCTAGGCCCTGCAGAAGCCTTGTGGCCTCGGACCAGTCACATGGCAGGCAGGGTGGGACGGCCGAAGGAAAGTGACCAGTCTGAGTGGGACGTGTTGTCGTCAGAGCCTGGCTTATGCAGACCAGTGGGCATAAGCGCACCCAGGCCGACCGCCCCCAGGCTCACCTTCCCTGCCGCCTGCCCTGGCGGGTCCCCAGCTTGCCCAAGGTCAGAGTGATGTCACAGGGTCCCCACATGGCTGCGTGTGGCTGCTTCGGACCCGTCTGCTGGACCAGGAGGCGGCCAGCCTGCCTGTGCCCTGCCAGGCCCGAGACGGTGTCGGCAGGCGAGAGGCCTGCTCAGCGCTGCAGGCCCAGCAGCTGGCGGGCACACGGCCCCTCTCCCTGTGGCACAAGGAGCAGCCCCGAGATGGGCTCCTGACCCACTGTCTTCCCCCATTTCCCGTCGCAGGGGCTCAGTGCGGCCACCAAGGACACCTACGACGCCCTCCACATGCAGGCCCTGCCCCCTCGCTAGCGGCTCGGGACCCCACCTCTCGCAGGCCAGACCTGCGGACGCCCCGATTGTGGGGGACACAGGAGGAAGCACTGACGCCTGGTTCGCACCTGCTTCTCCCCACCTGAGTTCCTCCCTCGGACCAGACGCTTCACGTCATCCTGTCGGCTCCACCCAGTCCCAGACCTTCACCCACAGAACGTCGGCCCTGCACCAGGCCGGGCCCATCCTCCCGGAGCCCGTGGGGACCCAGGGGCCACGGTCTTACCTGGGGGTGCACACTCCTCATGACATCCCCGAGGAGCCCCCGATGTCGGCCCCCGTCCACTCGTCTGTCCTGTTCTGTGGGTCCCCGAGTGGCTTCGCTCCTGCTGTGAGTTTGGCTTCTGTTGCCTCCCGCCCCCTTACTGCTCCGCAGCTTAGCATGGGCCTAGGAAGGTCCGCAGGAGGGATGCGGGGTGCCCGAGCCTCAGCTGCCGGGGGCGGGGCGGGGGGGGTGCGGGGGCCCGGGCAGCACCGGCCTCTCAGCGGTTCCGAGGCTGGGGACCAGGGAGAGGAGCCCCCCCGGGGGCTGGTGTGAGCCGCTGGAAAGCAGTGAGCACGGACCCAGCAGGCCCAGAGAGGCCAAGGCCGCGTGCTCCCTGGGCGCTCAGCCATGTCGCACTGGGTCTGGGACAAGCCCACCACCTGGCCTGTAAGGGTCCTGGAGGACCGGCCCGAGGACGGGCCAGGTGGAGCCCTCTGCTGCGCTGCGTGTAATTTATGCTAAAGCCTTGCTCTCTGCGTAATAAATGCTCCGGTGACACGCTTTGCATTGAACTTTACTCCGGCAGCGAGCCCACGGGGGCAGGGGTCCCCCGTCGCAGCGGGCGGTCCAGCCCAGGGGCTGCTGGGGCAGTGCCTGGGGACTGTGTGGGGCGGTGGGGTGGGCTGGCGGGCAGGGCCCTACGTGGCGTCGGCTGTGGGCTGTGGGAGGGCGGGGCAGCAGAGGGTGTCTGGGGAGGATGGAGGGTGGCAGAGGCCTTGAGGTCTGTCCCCAACCCGCCCTCTCCTGGCTCTGATCAGGCTTGTCCATCCTCCAACTAACGTTGGGTAAAGGCTTCGGAATCCATACCTTCGCGTGTTGGAGGAGTCCCTGGTCAGGGCTGTGGCCACCGCTCACGGCAGCGCACGAGAGGGCCGTCCCCCTGCGACCGGGCCCGAGGGCAGCTGCTCCTGCCGGCACTGGGCACGCTCCCGGGGGGAAGGATCACGAGCCCTTGCAGAGCTAGGGCTTCACACCCTGCCCGCGTCGCCCGAAAGGACGCAGCCCCTCTGCAGTGTCAGGACCGTGGAGACAGGCAGTACAGGGCAGGAGTGCAGTCAGTGAGGACGAGGGCAGGACGGCTCGGGAGGGACCGGCCTCTGAGGGCCAGACGGTCCGGCCTGCTGGTGGAACCCGGCCTGAGGGGACGGGAAGGTCACAGATGTCACGTGGCTGCCTTCGCACCCACTACGTTCACTAAGGCGACAGGCAGCCTCCCCTGGGCCCGGCTTCCATGGCTGCTCACCTGGCTATGGAAAGGCTGAAGCTGGTCAAGTGAGACAGCCTCGCGCTGTCCACGAGGGCCAGGTCAGCCCAGCTGTGGGAGCTGCCGTGCGCCAAGAGTGGGTGGGGCGAGCGGCAGTGCCCTGCGGTGCTGAAACCCCAGGTGTGTGTGTGCTGCACGCAGGTGACCACAGGTGTGTGTGTGTGTGCTGCACACAGTTGACCACAGGTGTGTGTGTGCTGCACGCAGGTGACCACAGGTGTGTGTTGCACGCATGTGATCACAGGTGTGTGTGTGTGTGCTGCACGCAGGTGACCACAGGTGTGTGTGTGTGTGTGCTGCACGCAGGTGACCACAGGTGCATGCTGGGGGAGCACTCAGCAGTGTCCTGACAGACCGAGCCTGGGGCCGAGGCGAGAACAGCCCTCGTCTTTGGGGAAAAAGCAGCAGCAGAGCCCGTCTCCGTGGTAGCTCACTGCCCCGAGTGGGTTAGAACACATTGCCTTTGAGAGGGACGACAGGGTCCCAATCGAGTGGACCTCATCCTCGCTGCTGGGTGTGACCAGGGCTTTGCCCTCGGGTGCCGCGAGCACACGGGGCCTGCAGCAGGCAGGGTCCCCCCTGAGAACCTGCGTCTGAGGGAGAACTGCACCTCCTCAGATGGAGCCCTGGGTACAAGGGGTGGAGCCCGAGCAGGGCGGAGCCTCCCCCTCCCCAGGCCAGGAGAGCGCAGACCACTCAGACAGCCCCCTCCCCTGCGAGGGGCTCCTGTTCACACTCAAGTTCCCTCTCTCAGCAGCGGGCCCTGCTCGGCAGAGCTGCAGCCCTCAGACAGGACGGCCGGCCGGGGCAGGACTGGGCTGGGCTCCCCCGAGGAGCCCGGGGGCATGCGCAGGGCCCTGCAAGTGAGCCGGCCAAGGCGAGCTCGGCGTCCTCTCTCGTCAAGCCCACGGTGATACGGGAGCGTTCAAGCCCCTCCGCGGACCCGAGGAGGGCGTGTGTGTCTGGTCACGCGAGCCTGTGCCCGCACCTGCGAGAGGTGCTGGCAGGGCTGCCGTGCGTGGTCCGGGTGGGGAGGTGGGGCACCCAGGCAGCCACACGACGCCTTCAGAGAGACTCAGACGATGCGGAACACTTGGAAAAAAGGTTTAATGACGTTTTACAACAGAAATGAACTGTACAGTTACAGTTAAGTTTAATATATATAAAAATTACAGCAGACAAATGCATCTACACAGAACCTAGCATTTCCTTCTGACTCACTGTCCCCGACACAGCCGCCCCCAAGCCCACAGCCCCGGCAGCCCAGCAGGGTCACAGGAAGGGCACTTCTCAGGAGACAGCACCGCTCAATCCCCCCGACTTCTCAGGGCTCGGGAAGCATCAGCGAACCCCCAAACGTGAAGCTGCTGTTTCCCAGGGGCCCAGATAGGAAGGTGCCCAATCCAAGGTGTCGCTGACTCTTAGGAGCTGTTCCTCTCGGAGGGGCACCGGGCACCCAGCGTCTGGGGCAGGGAGGCTACACGACAGCCACCAGAGCGCGGCGCCGCCTCGGAGAGCTTGGACGGCCCCGGTCAGCTACGCAGGGACCCTCGCTGCCGCGGCGACGCTGCTGGGCAGTGCCGGGTCGTTCACCCACATCTGAAGTTTCCACAGAGAACTCAGACTCACATTTTAAAGTTAAGTACATAGAACGAAAAATTCTGGGAGGCCAAGGGGGCCAATTCCCCTTGTGTCCCTCCCTTGACAACAGTGGAAAAACACCCCTGAATCAATATTTAAAAAAAAGTTAGAGAAGGAAAAGTGGGGAGTCATTGAAGACAGAGAGAGAGACGACATAGAAAAGCACAATCACTGTCTCTGAAAGAAAACAGCCCGGTGGGCGCGGCAGAGCACGCCGACGGAGCCGGACGGAGCGGACGGGGACGTGTCTCGGGAGCGCGCACCGCGGACGGCTGTTTCCTTTGTACTGTGAACACCTAGGCAGTGAGGACTGCTGTGTTAATACACAGACACACCCAAACATACAAAAATACTACTGTTCCAACTACCAAGAATAGGACAGTTCCGCTATTTCCATGCTAGGACTTTACACTGGAACAGACGAGAAGTTAAACGACATTTTTTTAATATCCCAGAAATATACCAAAATATACATCTAAGCTTTGGAATTGCTGAGGTTAGACTAATGCAAGTGCGGGGTAGTCATACTCCAACACAGTCTATGGTTCTGCAGGACAGAATTATCTTTGGTATCTGCATCAGGCTAAGATGATTAACATTTGGATTTTGCTTTGGGATAGAGCTTGTATGACCCTAGAACCAAGTCCCCCCTCCCCCAATCAACTGAGATTAAAAAGATCCGTGTAAAAAGTTCCTTCATTTGCACCCCCCACCCCCCAAGTTAAAAAGTCACAGGCATCTACCTAGCACAGGTGTGGACACGATGCATAGTTGCGCTGCAGGGAGGAGACCAGCCGGTGGGGCGGGGCGCTCGGCCAGCGCTCTGAGGGCTCTGGCAAAGGGCCGGCGCTCCGAGCGGCCCGCGGAGGAAGGGAAGGAGCTCTGGGCCGGAGCCCGGCCAGCGCCCGGAGGCCAGCGCCAGCAGAGCGGCCCGCCCTGCGCCAGTGTCCGCAGCCTCCCCACCCTGTGGAGCCCCGGGCTCGGGCAGCTCGGCCCTGCAGGGCGTGTGGCTGTGGCCGACCACCGTGGCGGGTCTGTCTGCTGCTCTGACGAGTCTGAAATGCTGACGTCCCACGGGCACGCTCACAAGCTGGCCCGAGCCACAGCTCCAGCCGTGTGCACCTTGGCAAACCCAGCGTGAAAGGCACACACCTGCTCTCCGCGGCCAGAGCCCCGCTGGCCCGGCCTCGCTCCGGACTGGCCAGGACACCACAGACTGGATCGACGCTGAAGACTGCCCTTTTCTTTGGTTTTTTTGTTTGTTTTGAGTTTATACAATCATTAAGAAATCTTTGGTTTTGGCTGGAAATTTAAAAAAACAAAACAAAACCAAACAAAGAAACGCTCCCTGGCGCACGGCGGCGGCGGGAGGCCTGGCAGAGCTCACGAGGGCGGAGCTGGGCTACATTCAAAGAAAAGGTAGCTGGGCCGGTGCAGCCGGGAGCCCACGGGACATAAGATTGTCAACTAAGAATAATAATAATAATAATAGAATAACTTAAGCATCTGGATTTGGTCGTGTCAAAGGGACAAAGTGAAGTGTGTGCAGCAGTCAGCGTAAAGGGCCCTTCAGTGTCTCCTCCACCCAAAGTCCTGAAAACCAGCGCACCCGGGGCCTGGGGAGGGGGCCTCCCCCAGCTCTCCCCAGCGAAAGGCAAGGACAGGAGTTGGTGTGGCCAGCGGTCAGACGGGGGCGTGGACAGGTGGCCAGCCCCTAAAGGCAGGCGGGGAGTAGACGCTGGACCTGTGAGGACCTCCTGTGACAGGAAGAAGCGGGGAGCGCAGTCTGCCCGCAGGCCCAGGACGCTCTGGGCCACCGCGGACAGGCCCCAGCAGGAGGCGGGCGTGGAGACTCGGCGGGCTTCAGAGGGAGTCAGAGCGAGTACTCAGTCACGAGTGGGAATGAGGTATACGGCGACCACTCGCCTAGCCGTCGCTGCCGCCAGAGGAGGGGCCAGCGGGACAAGGTGTCTCCGCGGAGAGCAGAGGTAAGGAGCTAGGAGTCCGTCTGTGCCCGGACCTGGCCTCGGGGCGGGCAGTTTCTATTGCAAACAGGCCATGTCCCAATACGGCCGCAGGTCTCGATGCTCACACAGCAGGTGGGCCCCCCCCCCCCCCCCCCCCCCCCCCCGCTCAGGCCTGTGCCGCCAGCACCAGGAGGGGCACCTGGCGCTGCAAGTCTGGCCTCTGCTAACAGGATGGTCGTGGGGCTTCTGAAAGTGCATCGATTTGCTGCCGCGTGGCCCCCACGAGACA